ACTGGCCGCATTCATACTAGGTGCCGTAGACGGCATCGAGTGCCGTAGACGGTCGTCTCGGTGCCGTGTACGGCACTCGATGCCGTCTACGGCACCAGTCGTACGAAACCAATCGATGGACAGCTCCCATTGATGACTCATCCTACGGGATGACTGTTTGAGATAATTGTGCTCCTTTTTCTCTTCGCTCGTAGCAGATTTTGTTGTGATTTTCATTTTGTATCACGTCCCGTGCTTATTACCGATCTTCCGTGCGCGTAGTGGTCGCTTGAGCTCATTATTTTTTCACTTATTTTTCTTACCCCTCTTATTTCAATAATTTGTTGTGGGAATTTTTCTATTTCATTTTTTCATTTCATTTCATTTTGTTAGAACACTCAAATTACAAGAACACAACCTATAAGACCCACAAAAATCTTCTCAGCTCAACTCACATACATAATGCCTGTTGTAGGCTTAGCATTGTAACAATCGTGTAAATCTGGATTTCTGAAGAAATGACACGTATTTAACTGTCAAATAAAATAGAGAAAGCGAACATCACAATCATGATCACAGAGAACAATAATGTAAGTAGTCAAGGTATGTATAGACGATAAGGATACCGCTACTTAAACGATCGTCATTGGTCAATGTTTGCATTCAGGCCCAATCAAATAAGCAAAATAAACAAGCGTAGTGGTGGGATTCAGCAATTTAACCCAGGAATTCTTTTCAGCCATTCCTTTATGAGATTTTGCAACCCCCACCCCTCTTCTCCCCTAATTTCTACTACACTGAGCGCTTAACCGTAAAGCTTTCCGAATCTACTTCTTACCTAAACCCTGTCGGAATGTAGTGAAATACAGAAAGAATACTCCTCTCCTTTGTAGGCTATGCAGTCCTTTTTACAGCGCAGTTTTTCCTAACCTACCAGTAGAATTGAGAGATTCAAAAAAGGGGAACCTCTGGAGAAAAAAGTTGTAAATAATTAACACTCCAGCACATGGTTTATATATTTTACTAATCAATTTGACAAAACGAGTGCCACCAGATACTTATACCGTTCCTTCTTTGGGAATGATACATTTTGAGACAGATATACTTTTAGTTCGAAATTATAACCTGTTGCACAGGGTCTGCCTGCCCGAGAGGAAAATTTTCAGCTAGACGCCGTTCAATACACCCTACACCACGCTTGTTTCATACAGAAAATAAATACTTACAAACAGTATGTATAATTACAAATTAATAAATTAAAAAGCTGTGTAAGGACAACTGTATTTGTAGCAGTTATCTATGTTGAATTCAATAATAACATTAAAAGTGATTAAACTCGAAGCACTTGAAAATTATTAGTTGGGAAGTGTCATGTTAACTATTAAAAGGCTATAGATACCTAGTAACAAGGCATACCATTCGGTAAGGCAACGGGAGATTAGAATTGTTTGTCTACACAGCGTCCTCTTTGCTCATTTGCAACGGATTAACGTACTCAAACCCATCAAACTCGCTTTGGTCTATTTTAGCAATGACGTTCGGATCATCAGGAGTCAAGTTTGGTGCTTCGTCGGTGAACTGAGTGTCGAAATGCTGAAGATCGCGATCGCTTTCCACAGATGGATTGTAGGGAGGTGCAACTTGTCTCTGCTCCAACTGCAATTATACCCTGATTATTGCGACAATTGCACTGCGACAATGCTTGAAGCCAAGCAACACTGTGTAATGCTCCAGAGAAAATTGAATTTTTAGACAACCGTACCGCTTCCCAATCAACGGTGTTTTTGAAGAAAGGATGCTCTTTCATTTCCGTCAATGATTCTTCAATGTCTGTTCGACATCCAAGTCGTTCAGATGGGTCCTGAAATACTCGTGATTGACGTGACACCCGGAGGCTTCAAAAACATATTCGATCACTGTGAAAAAAAAAAAAAA